TTCTGTGTGGCAACAGCAGAGGATGGGAACAGAACCAGATGGCTGAAAGAAAGGGGGTCCCTGTTTTGTCACCTGGGTCTGCCTGTGCCCTCAGGTTATTGCTCTCAACTGTAACTCCTTGCAAAATGGACCTACGTAATCTGCAATCGTTGCATCTCTGCAAATGTGCCAATGTCACGGGCCCGGCTGTGTCCAGGGAGAGGGGCTCCTTCCTTCACAGCCCTTGGGGTTTGCAAGCTGGGGTGCAAACAGGGCAACACAGACACCCGATATGAAAATCATTCACCACCTCATATTGTTTAGTGAGAGAGACACCCCAAGTAAAGCTGGTTTTCTCATGGTGTTCTACTAACTTCAGCTTGCAGGACAAGATACAGCAGTGTGTAAAGAACGCAGAGAGAGGACCCCCTGCCCAGGATGGGGAGAGACACAAAATAGAAAATGACTCTCTGAAAAAAGAATGCGACTGCCTCAGGAAGGTAACAGGCTGTCCCAACTGGGAATCACACATTTTTCCTTCCACTGGGTCACACCAGGCACTAAAATGAAATCAAGGACTCTTGCAATCATAGGCAGTCACAACTGCACTGAAGCAGCCGTTCCTGGAATTCCAAACTGAGGGGTTTTAAAAGCTGTTCTTGGTGCGATAACCCTGCACTTCTCCAGTAACACTGGAGAGAAGTTGCAGAATGCAGAAGAGGGGAAAGGAAAACCACAAGAATGCAACTTCTCCAGTCTGTTTTTAGTTGATACCTCTAATGGTGCCTTTTATCAGGTGCCTTTCATCAGGGAATCTAAGTCCATTACTAACAGAGGCAGTGATTAAAGCAGTAAGTGGACAGGAAAGGGAAGGAGAGGGCATGTGCTGTCTTACTGAAGGAGAAGAAATCCTGGTGGTATTACTGAGTCTGTGTGGCCAGTTCTGATGCCTCTGCTTTTGATTCCAGATTGTGGACAAGCAGCAGAAGAAGATGGAACAGTTGTCCTTACAAGTAAAGGTAAGAGGTGACTGCAGGGGGACCTAGAACTTGAGAATCTGCTGTGAAGTGAGTTAGACTTACTATTTTCCCATGGTCTGTTCCAGAACCTGGAAGAACGGGTGGCCCAGGAAGAGGGCACAAGCCAAGCTCTGAAAGAGGAAGCGATGAGAAGAGAAAATGCACTGCAGCAGCTCCGGACTGCTGTGAAAGAGGTCAGAGCAGGAGTGTTTAGAGTGCCCAAGCCTAGCAATTGCTAAAAGACAATCCATTGTTCATTCAAGGCCCTTAATTTGCAGTCAACAGCACAACTTCTCCTGCTTCCTGCTAGCCAGTTGCCCTGTCAGTGCTCTGAAAGGAGCTCTTCTCCATTCAGAAGTGGGAGGAGAAGGGCAGTTTCTCCCTTGGGAACTTCAGCTGGGGCTTCGGGTTGTGGTGGAGGACGCTGAGCTTGCCGGCTGGGGGCAGCAAGGTGGCGAGCAGGAGTCCAAACTCGACTGCAGCCCTGGCTGAAGGGTAGGGCTGAGCACCACTCTTAAGCCTAAAGGAAGCCAAGCACAATGGCAGCCCTCGAGGGAAGGGATGGTCAGTGTTGGGGTGAGCAGCTGGTGCACAACCTCCTGGAAGCTTATCTTGTTGTGTCATGCCTCGGCAGGGACAGTGCAGTGTCACGGGGTGCTTCCTGTCTCAGCCAGGGAAGCCGAATGCTCACACCCTGTAGGACTGACACTCCCTCATCTGGTGAGAGTCTGGAGAGCTTGATGTAAACCAGCTCCTCCTGCCCTCAGTGCTCCTATCGTCATTGAGCAGTTGCATTGTTTTAAGTGTGCTAGTTCTGTACCAAGTGACCACTGACCTGCTGTGTCCCTTTGTTCAGCTTTCAGGGCAGAACCAGGATCTCATTGAGAAGAACCTGACCCTTCAGGAACGACTCCGGCAGGCAGAGCTAACAACCCAGCCGCTGCCTGCTGAGACAGCCCGCCTCGCCCAGGAGTTGCACAACGAGCTGGCCAGTTGTCTGCAGGATTTGCAGTCTGTCTACAGCATTGTCACTCAGAGGGCTCAGGGCAAGGATCCCAACCTCTCTCTGCTCCTGGGCATTCACTGTAAGTATGCGGCATGATGGCAGAGCAAACCCTTTGGCTCCTGTGCTGTGGCAGAATTAAATAACTCGCATATATTATAGCATATGAAAGGTTCTCATATTTCTGGGGTTTTGAACCTTCTTTCTGTGGTGAGCTAACTCTAAAAGTGCATGCTGTAATAACTAAATGTTAAACAGTAGCTCTTTTGCAAATGTGCGTTGGTTTTTCTGGCTCACTTGCAAGTGTGTGAGATCCTTGGTCGGAATTGTATGTGAGGTAACTCCCCTATCTGACTCCACAGCTGTGCAGTACTCTGCTAAGGAGAAGGACGACTTGCTGAACCCTGATGGACTCGCAAAGAAACTGGTGGAGGTAAAACAGCTTCACAAAGAGGTGGAGGACTTAAGGACTGCAATATCTGACAGATATGCTCAGGACATGGGAGACAACTGCATCACCCAGTAAAGAACGCTCCCCAAAGTAAGATGGGAAAATGAAGACTTGAATCCCTTGGGAGTCTAGAGCTCCTACAACCCAAAACCTATTTAGCACTTTACCATCCCTTCGCTCGGGTACAAGATGTGTGACTTATCTAATCTGTGAGAAATCAGGGGGTTTGTTGCCAGAAGTGTTTAGCTGCTGGCTGGCTAACCAGAATCGTTCAGGGCTTTGGTGTCAGGCTTTGCAGTAGCTTTGATCTTGTGGAATGTGTTTATGCTGTGTTTGCTGGAGCTGGTGTGGTCTCTGATGCTGGGAGATGAATTCTGAATTGCCTTCCAGGCATGTCAAATGCTGAACATGCAAACGCGACAGTTAAAATCATCACTAAAAGGAAATGTATGCCCTGGTCTTTCTGATAAATTCTCTGCACAGATCCTGTGTGACTAGTAAGACCAGAGGATTATCAGAGTGTTCGGGGGATATCTGTGGACTTCATAGCCAAGCAGGTGGGCCAGTTACACTACTGCTAATTAATCAAAGTGCTACAGGCTCCTCGGATGCTGTGTGCACAGTTCTGGCTTGGATGCTTGGACCTGCTTTTCCTCAGGTAAATGCAACTGGAGTCTTTCAGTAGCCAACAGGAGCTGGGGAATAAAGCAACACTAAAATACTCTGGAAACTCTCCCCCTGGTCATTGTTACCCCAGAAGCCTTAAGCCTTTTCTTCCCCCCGAAATAGCACTCTGTGGGCATGATTCAGACTGCAGAGGAAGTGGGTTGATGCTGAAGTGCCTTAATGTGCTAGAGAAACCTGTCCCCATGCTGCTTGGTGCCTAATGCATCTGCTGGCAGGGTGAGGAACTGCTGTTTCTTGTAGCAGCCTTTAGAGCCATCACAAACAATCCTGGGGAGCCTCAAATGTCTGTAGCCCCTGCCAGAGCTGCAGAGAGCTTCTGTGTCCCTGGGGGGCCCTGCTGCAGGCCAGTGGGGAGACGCATCTCTGCTTGGCTCTCTGCTTGCTGCTTGACAGGGAGAAAGCCATTCTGGTCTGAAGATGGCACAGCTGGATCTGAGAGCTCTTCCTGATGCCTGCAAGGCAGTGGCCACTTGGGCTTTGGTGTAGCCCTGCCCGTTGTTCTCAGGGAGCTCCCTGCTCCTCTACTAAAAAATGAGATTTCGAAATAAATCAGCATGAGATGTGGTTTGCTTTGTCACAACCCTCCTTAATCTTAGTGGTAACAGAATTGAGTGCGTGCTTGTGACAGTGCTGTGGTGCCAAGGGTTGGAACTTCTTTGGTCTTCAGCTTGAGTTAAGAGCAAGATAAGTCGGTTATGCAGCGGGGGGTGGGGAAGGGGGGAAATACTGCTGAAACTTCTGTCTGTCTGGTTGATCTTGGTTCATGTTAGGGCTGTGTGAGCTCTAGGTTTGGGAGAAATGCTAGAAATGCTTTTGTTCTTCCTTTGTGTTTAATATTAAAGACCAAATCTGTTTTGTTCTTAGCGTTTGGCTGCTGTGGGTGATGGTGCAGCTCTCTGCCCTGTTTTCCCCATCTGGTGCATTACATTTCTGGCTGTTTCTGTTCCCAGGCTGCTGATGCCACGCACTGAGCTAAATGGGGGCCAAGGCTATTTCTTGAAGTCATTTGTCCTGGCTGCTGGGGAGCTCTGGGGTGCAGAGAACTTGCTCCCTCCCACGGGTTGGCAGGGTGCTGTTCAGCACCATCCCCTTTCCCCGTGTTCTCCTGGGGTGCAAGCAGATCTGGGGTCCTAGGTGTCGCATGGGGACACGTTTGCCCTCTGCCCCCCGCAGACCTGGGGGTGGCAGCTGAAACCCCACCTTGGCCCGTGCTTGGAGCCTCGCACCCGGCCCCGTGCCAGGGGCTGGGCTGCCTGGGTGGGGGGTGAGAAATGCCCCCACCTCATCCTCCCCCAAACCTGGACCTGTCCGGCTCAGATGCTGATCCCACCGGCCCTACCTGTGCCTGCTGGGGGAGATCTTGGGCCTTTCCTTACAGAGCACCCCAGACAGGGGCGGTGGGGCCCCCGTCCCCTCGGGCGCCGTGCGTTTACACCGGCCTTCGTCTCACCCGCTTGTCCGTACGGAAGATAATAAAATAAAG